GAATCAACTAGTATATTTTATTACGTCATCAATCAATTTTTTTAAGTCAATTTCCAAGTTCATATACATGTTTTGTAATATATTATGCGACCATGAGATTGATTGCTATTCCAATTGATTAAATAAAACACTTATTCGTAGTTGAATAAATGTGAAATTAGTTTGTGACTTACTGAACAAAGCAAAATGAAACCGACACATTTAACGTACTTTGATGAAGTGAAAACATGAAACAAAATATTTGTGAAAAGGCTTTGAAAGTAAGTTTTGTATGTGTTCTTGGCACATGCCATACCAATATTGACATTTGGAGTCTAAATCATTATTGTTTCTCTATACTATACCTAAATACAAGTACCTAACATGAACGTAATAAAATCACAAAAAACACAATTGTTATATTTCCAATAAATACATAGCATAAAGTTTGTACTTACAGAAATATTATAGCCAAATAGCCCCCCTCCCCCACATCTCTTCCTACATCCTATCATCATAACGTCACGCCAGTCATCCCTTCTCCAACTGTGGTAGAAAGAGACAAAGGAACTCCAAATGCTTTAGATAAAAAAAAAAAAATATTGTGTTATTCTCATTCTAGTTTATCTTTAAGAACATTGCCTGCCTTCAAGTGGGGTTAATTCCAGGGAGGGGGGACGGGGGATTGTTAGTAATGGAAACTGGTAACCCCCATTGCTAGCAATGTACTATATCAGGTCGACCTCCACGCCGTTTCCCCTGGAAACCATCGTGATAAATTCCTAGTGAATTTCTCACGATGGGCTGACTGACCTGACCTCATGTTCATCTTATCATCCTCCACTGGTGGCCAGCCAGTGTAAACCGTTAGCGCATTCGGGTGCATCAATTCATTATCATCCACAAAAAAAAAATAACCAGGGATTGTTGCTTCCGAAGTTGATAGCGAGGCAAAGGGGCTCACCCCGCAGGCTTCAACCTGCACCTGCATCTGTTTGCTATGATTCAGACAGACATCTTTATTTTCCTTTCTCTTCTCTCTTTTCATTCATCAATCTATTCAATAAGTAGGTACCTGTAACTGGCTCAAAATCACCAAGGTGGAGAATAAATTTGGTGTTTTTAAACAAATTGATATTGTAAATATTACTTAACTATGTTCATATTAACTGTACCTAATATTTTTTACTGAAAAAGTAAAGCACATTTATTAATATTTAAAGAAATAACTTCAAAAATCATTTCGGGAACGCGTCCCAAGTACCAATCTTCAAAAACTAACGTTGAAAATATTAATAAAATAAAATAAGTTTTAAATGTTTTTCTTACTCAATGGCCTACAATTTTATCATAAATCAATTAATTATTGTTATTACTAAAGAAAGAAACGAAATTAAAGAAAATCAAGTCATATATTGTGTCCCGCAGTGTAAGCATCATTTCAGTGAACGCAATTTTGATTCTCAATAAATATTTTGTTTTTTATCGCAACCCTTAGTTTTCTATGGTACAGTGATGTGAACGATGTAAACAAACGGTTGTCGTCTTTCGTTTTTGCCAAAACAATTGAAAATAAGAGGTAAGCATCTTTCAATTCAATATTTATAGAGCGTACATCACTACATCATCATACCGGGAATGCGTTTCTAAACTTGGGAAATTGAAATATAAGTTTTGTAGTACTTTATAGCAAATAGTAATCTCAAATATTTTACAATAATAAAACCAAACATGATGTCAAAGATTACTGCGATCTAAAAAAGGCACGCTTATTTAAAAAGTCATTTCGGGAACGGTCATTTCGGGACCGTTTCCGAAGTTGACGGAGGGTTCTCGAAATGATGATGACGTTCCCGAAATGACTTTTTAAATAAACGCACCCTGTTATTATTACTAACGGTTAATCAATTCAGTGTATGTTGTGCTAACATATTGTTTAATATATGTTTAATGTTATTTAGCAATATGGAGTCTCATGTGGCTGAAAAAAATAAAGAAACGTCCGAAATAGCAAGTTAATAAGAATAGTTCGGTTTACTTGCGACAATGGGAGAATCCAATGCCAGGAAAAAAAATTTTTTAGATAAGATGATGGTGAAAGAGAGAGAAATAAAAAGGGCTAAGGATAGAGCCTATTTTTAGAAAAGAAGCTGTAGAGAAAGTTAAAAACATTGATGAAATCAATGAGAGAGCAAAGCAAAATAAAAAATTGGGTAAGGGGCATTAGAAAAATACAGGGAAGAAAGGAAGGCAATATCAGGTATAGTAAACAATACTTTGCCAGATTCGAATGATGAATTAAATGCAGAACGGTTTTTAGGGAGAAAAACAACGGAAAGAAAAATTGTTCGAAGGATAGAGCCAAATCATAAAATAAAACAACAAGAGAAAACAATTCCTAACATAAAATGTAAATATAAAACTTTAAAGAAAAGACTAAGAAGAAAAGAAAAAAAAAGAACAGGAAATAGTTCAGGTACCAACAACGAATCCTAACAGCAAAGTTGACGCATTGATTTAAAATGTCATAGAACCACCTAAAGTGCCCAAAAATCTCTTATTCAACGAAGTACTGACAGCGCAATTAAAAGAAAAGGCCTGTATTTTATGAAAAAATTCCAAATAGAGGGAAGTCTTCCAAAAATGTGTTAGCGATAGCAAAGAAATATAAACTGATTCGTATGGCTAAGACTTTTATGCCAAAGAAAGAACCAGTACATTGATTCTGAAGACCGATATCAAAATTCGTGTATATAATGACTAAAAAATAATAAGTATAATGTTTAGATGGTTTGATTTATTTACATTGGAATAAAAGATTATTGCCATTGTAATAAAAGTTTAATATGATTATTAAAACTTTCTAATCAGCTGTGTACAGGTTATTAAAAGACTGTAAAGTGTTTTAAGTTACGGTTTTTGATAATTAGGAACCTTATGCAAAAATGAATAAATAAGTACGATGTTCCAAAAACATTGCTCATGATTTTTAACCCTAAATTGTATCTATATCGTCATTTAAGGACGTCACACGCATCATTCCGTGAACACCTCATCCCTTCCGGGAACATCACCAAACTCGCAGATAATACATGATTATTTTAGATATTTTAAAAAAGCTCTAATAATATTAAAATATGACGAACTTCTCATACCTAGAGCATGTTAATTAATATACAAGACACATCTATTTCTCATATTTAGATAATTTAGACTAAAAAATAGTCATAATATCACCCATTTGCACAATATTTTGCTTTCTAACGTCTTTATTGGCAATTTCATTAGATTTCTTTAATTTCTATGTATAGGTAACATATATCCGCTATTGAATAAGGAAAAAAATAAATACTTATGTTATATTTTAATATTATTATAAACCTTACAAAAACGTTCCCGTAATGATTTTTTTCAGCGATATGTCTCTTTAAAAATAAAATTACAAGAGCTGTAATCAATTCCATGCTCTGCCAACGTAAATATTGTTTAAACATAAGTTTATGGATCATTTAGGCTGATCATCAAAGTAATAGCTGCTAGGTAAATTCATCATAAAACAGAACTTGGAATTTGCCACCTTGGTGATTTTGAGCCAACTATTCATTAGATAGGTATCTACTAAAGTAGATATATTAGTATGTTACTCATCTAACTGAAGCAATTTACGAACGAAACCACAAGTATTCGCGAGTCAAATAGTTTAAAAGATGTATTTATGTAAACAACTCGAAACGGAATCTGGCTCGAAATTAGTTTACTTTATACAAGTTTAGATGAAACATTTTCATCTAAGTTCAGTCGCAGTGAGACGAATAAATTACGGAATGTGATTAAACGGAAGTTTTGTCCTTATTTGTGTTAAATATGACAATTCTATATGGTTTAGAACTAAAATAGAATTAGGATGTTTGGTAAAAGGATGGGACGACTAATAAAAAATCCTTGAATTATAAGGAGCGTATTCCTGCAAATATTAATTAAAAAACATACATTAAACAACATAAAATATAAGTATCTATCTACCTACAGACAAACGGATCAATAAAATAAAACAGACGGATCAACCAAATAATTCACATATCACTTTCTATTCCAAGTTACGTTAGGTATCTCATAATTATAATTCTTTAATTTATAATCATATTAAGGCTCTTTGGATGTAGGTACTTGGATGGGTGCATGCACCCACCTAACTTACCGGTATACGCTGGCGGGTCACCTGATCACTACTTTTACTATAAGAAAAATAAAATATCTACCATTTATTTCATATTTTTCAAATTTATGTTAATTTTGCACTAACATTTAAAACTATATACCTACGAGATTTTATTGTACATAAAATAATGTTTACGTTTTTAGCAATTCTATCGACTTCCCCCGGAAGTCTTTTTTTTGTAGGTGCGGTACATTGCATTCATCACAGTGCCTCGCCTTCATTAAATTTGCCAATGACTAAATGTAGTGTATATGTGGGATTAATGAAACAACTGTATCATGTGAAATGTCATCATCATCATCATCATCATCTCAGCCCGGAAGACATCCACTGCCGAACAAAGGCCTCCCCCAAAGATCTCCACGATGATCGCTCCTGCGCTGCTCGCATCCATCGCCTTCCAGCGATCTTAACCAGTTCGTCGGTCCAAATGTGAAATCTATAATGTCGTTTCTGCGAATGATAAAGGAATGACAATGGCGATCCCAACTGATATAACGATAAAAATTGGCGGGATAGGAGAGAAAGAATTTAGTTTTATTTAACATGGATAAAAACATCAATTAGTTTTGTCGACACTAAACAAAAAGTTCTATCTTGTGTTGTTAAGGTTTGATAATGTTTAGAAATATAAACTGTAAAATTACTTTTATTTCATGAAAGATTATAATATAATAGCGCCATCTATTTCAAAATTCATACAGTTGTCATTTTCGCAGTACTGACTATCTGACATTTTGACACAGTATGTCATTCATTTATGACATTTCATGTTTTTGCTTTCATCACAATTCGTAAAATTCAGCGAATTACCATAATTATTTGTGTGTTGTTTTGAAATATTTAAATTTTTTCAATGATATAATATGTAAATAATATTATATATGTATGTAATACTGAATTTGTAGGACTGTAGGACAACAAATCAAAACACTTCTATAAAATCAGTTGTGTTTATAAAATAACAAAAACAAATGAAAAATACAATGATCAAATGAAATTTTAGTGGCGTATATAACAGTATTCTGGCTACGAATAAAATATTTGGAGAGTGATATGTCTAAAAAGTTTTAATACGTATATTGTGTAAGTAATTACGATTTTTTTTAAACTATAATAGTATTATCGGCCTTTAAGTCTTTTATATTTAAATTTAATAATACCGAAACCATAACTTTCCTAGCTGTGAATACCTACTTTAATGCTTTCTTAATATTCGTAATTTTATAAAATGGATTTGATTGATATTTATACAGATAGGTTATGTCTTATAATAATACTTAACACAGGACAGAAAGCCAAATTTTTTACCCATATTCACGCTGGCTGTATCATAAAATACAGTTATCACAGAAGCCTAATTATAAAGAAAAAAAAAATAGAATATCAGAGTCATTTACACTGTCTCTGCATGAAAGGTAATATGGTTTGTTACTACCTATGGATAATAGAATTTTTTAATCTTAACCAGTAATACCCGACATTAGAACATACTCAACCAAATAATCAATCTCTTAAGTACTTATTGGTAAAATTGAAGTAGTCCATCAAAATTTTTCTACAGACTAAAAAAGAAATTGAAATAAAAATATTAATTGATTTTTTGTATTTATACCTATTTGTTTAAGTATAAGTAATTTCATAATCAAAAGTGAACTAAAGCTGCTAGTATACTTTATACAGTCATATATAGGCACCTCTGTAGCATCTACATGCACTACGGCCCAGATATGGAGTCTAACTTGCTTGTTCCATATTATCTATTTCTACCTCCAAGCAGTTTACTTTACTTGCCTTCAGCAATTTACCTTATAAAGTAAACTGCTGAGGTACTGGCCCTGCAATATCTATAACAGTGATATTACCTAGAATGAATGCATGACATCTTAGTCCTCAGTAATGAATATAAATCTCATAATAATGATAATAACCCCCAATTCACACAACTAAGCTAAGCAGAGCTTGTGTGATGTGTACTAGACAACTGATATATAGATACAATTCTTTTTGTAAATGCATACATATTATGCATAGAAAACATCCAGAATAATACATGGAATGATATTCATGAAGATAAATATTTGAACTGTGCGAGGAATTGAACCCGAAACCATCGGATACAAGGTGGTGTGCTGGAGACTGTCAGTAATGTGTAATAACATGTTAGTGGTACTGTTGCACCTTCTTGAAGGAAGACTGGTGCAACAGTGGCAGATTGCCATAGTGATTGTGGTGAACATAAAGACAATATTATTATTTTATATGTATGTTATTCCTTAATGTGTATATAATATGGGCCAATATTGTTATATTTTTTCTTTTACATTATGCAATCAGTCTTCCAGACTATAAACAGATTTGTTGATCTTGAAAAATCATAAGTTGAATATTGTTATGTAAACAAAATTAAGTTGCCTGATATTATTTACTTAATGAAAATAAATTAAGTAAATTATACCTTAATGTATTAAATTAAGTTACTAAGTAAATATAAGTGATAGTTGCTTACCACCAGATATCTGAAGCATGTTATTATCTTTTTTTCAAGCTCTTATTTACTGTACAACCTTGCTCTTTCTATATACAGAGAAAGATTAATTAGACTTTTTTTGTTTCAATGTAGTTATAATTCTGTTATTATTTCAGGCTTTATTGGCAATGGCCAAAAGATATATTTTTTAAATAACTGAAGATTATGGCTACTACAAAATGTCAATTGTTTGATTATGAAATTATGAGAGCAAGTTATGTAGCAGAAATTATGAATCGTAATAAAAAAAAAGGTAAAACATTTGATAGAGCATCATTGGAAAAAATAATAAACAGCATAACTATGAAAGAAAAATTAGATCCTTCATTAGCCAGTGTATATGAAGTTATAATGGAAAATGGTAAAAATATTTTGATAATGCGCAGGCCAACTGACAGGCTAACCAATATTATTAAATTAATAGCACTGGAAGATACTTTCGACATTCTAGTTGACATACATCGAATTACTGGTCATTCCATTAGTAACATGAAGAAGCTAATAAACTTACACTATGAGATACCTAGTTTCTGTGTCACTATTTTTATGGCTGAATTTAAAAAACACAATTCTGCAATTACAAGTTCTTTGAATACAAACAATAGACATGTACTAGTACAAATCATTGATATGAGTGATAAACCTGATGGTATATTTACAGGTATCCTCCTGTATCATAACCAAATAACAGATTTTATAGTTTTAAAACCAATTACGAATAAATTCGCCAATGATATGGCTATGGAGTTATTAAATATATTTCTTGATTTTGGGACACCTGAAAAATTGCTTTGCGTAAAGCGTTATATACATTTTTTCATGGACGTAATTGAGCTATTGAAAGAAGTATGTTCTGAATTTAATAATTTAGTTATTGATATAGTACAAAGCGAGTCTAAGTTTACCAAAAGTATAATTAGCAGCCTTGAAATGTGGATAAAAACCTCTGAAAGTTTTAATTGGTCGATTGCTTGCCATTTATTGCAATGGAAGTTTAATACTGTGATAAATAATAATGGCACCTCTCCTTATATGAATACATTTAGATCAAAACCTAACCTGGCCATAGTTATAAATCACGAAAGATCTGAAATATTAGACCAAACTGAAACAATGCTACATACAGAAGAAGATCTTGGTATAAGTGTAAAGGAGGAAGATGAGGAAATTAGTGATGATGATATATTGCAACTTGATGACAATATTCTTAACAAAAAATCAGAAAGAACTGTTATTGATCATGTAGAAATTAGTCATACGATAAAATTGGAAAAGAATAGAATTCAAATGCTGACAATGAATGAATTGCCTTTAAATTTACATGATGTATCACATGATAGTGACTCGTTTGGTGTAACATCTACGCTAGAACCAATGCCGTCTACATCGAAAGAAGTAAATTGGTAGCGATATAATGTTGGACACGTCTGTTTGTACAACTCATGTTCCCAGTTTATTTGGGGTCGGGTCTCCCTGTACATTTGCACCAGAGAAATCTGTATCTTTGTGTTTCATCATGTATAGGGAGAAATGATTTGGCTTTGTTTACGGCCGGTAGCCACCTGACGCCAAGGTTGTACTTCCACTAGGAGAATTCTGGGGGCCGCCCTTCGTTCTTATCGAGCTCTTCCGCCGCCATCCCTTCTGCGCGACCCAACCTAATATGGCAGCATTGCCTGTGGCCTCTGCTTCGATTAACTCAAAGAACCCCGCTGGTAGCTGTAGGGGTTTGATTACGTGGTAATTCCAGCCCGTTGGTTCACAAGGCTATTTTATTTGACCCTTACTCTCTAGGTGACCTTTCTTCCTGACAAGCATACCCCTATCTGTCACCTGGGGACGCGTTCTCTAGCGGTGAGGCTCCCCCGAATGTTATATGAAAGGGATCTACCCTTTCATATAACATTCGGGGGAGGCTAGAGATTCAAGATATATTTTGATCGGTCGTGTAGCGAACTCATTGATTAATTTTTTATAATTTTTAAATATTATAATTTATTTATTGAACTTCAGTGCACACAATACAAAAGGTTTACTTTACATTTGGCGGACTTAACACCATGCGGCATTTTTACCAATCAACCATAGGTGGTGCAGAGTATAATCGTTGGCGATGCAAATATAATTAATGATAAACAAAATCATATATTTTTGGCATATTATTTTTTGTAACAATCTATTATATATCGCTGTCGTACTAGTTGTATTTTATTTCCATATTTTTCCTCACAAAACCTTCAATACCTCTCACTCATCAGGTACTCCGCTTCAATTTGGATAAATTGTAGTAGTCGACAGTTATTGTGAATTAGTATTTTTCGACTGAATACGTAGTAATGGATATGCGATCAGGCTTTCCGTGCAAAGAACGAACCCTCAACCTGAAGTAAAGCAATGCGCTAAACCGTTATACCATTAAGGGCGTATCAAATTTGTATGTTGTTACCCAAAAACTACTGCACAGTTTCGAAGTAAATTTCGTTCACAGATTAAAGAGCATTCTAAATTTTCACATATGACGTTTTTTACGCTAGCAACAGTTATTATTATATACTAGCTGTGCCCGTGACTTTGTTCGCTTGGGGTAACCTGAACCGTTTCCGCAACGCACGTAACAGAAGCCCACAAATATGAATAATTTTCCTCGTTTTTGCGACATTTTTCACTGATGCTTCGCTTCTATTGGTTGTAGCGTAATGTTATATAGCTTCGAGCCTTCCTCGACAAATGGGCTATCAAACAATTTTTCAATTTGAACCAGTAGTTCCTAAGAAAACAAGAAACTCTACAACTTTATAATATAACATATTAATATAGACATTGTCGAGTACTTTTTGATATCATCAATTCTACAATTTAGTCACGACATATTCATTATCTCTGTATATAGATCAACAACAAGTGGTTAATAGAAACTTGTGAAGGCCTTAACCCAAGTTTGTTACAAAACCAAAGATCCGATCCAAACGTTACCCGCATGTACGATTACTCCATTACGTTCCCGCATGATTTATGCTACCTATGAGCCACTAAATTGTATTACACAGGCTATACAGACGCGCCTCTGGAGACCGATTGATTGGACCATCTTAATTGGGAACACTCTTTAGGTATACCAGAGGGAGACTGAATAGTCATTGGCTTAAATATCTATTTTTACCTACGTTTTTTCTATTTCTGCAGCCTACCAGTACCACGACATCCCTTTCGTGCTTCGTCTTTGAAAACAGCTGTAGATTTCCATACATGTATCGGAGTGAGATAGGGTAGTGAAATTGCGTGGTACGGAGGCATAGTAAATACAGTTCCAACCTAAATACAAAGACCTGTTTGTTGTATGTGACTTCATATTGTGAAGAAATCCAGCTGTATTTGGTGATTTTTTTAAGTCGATAATTTATAACGGCTCCTTTGTTATCACACTTCCCATTTTGAAAAATAATACAAAGTCGACTGCGTAGATTCCGTTTATAATTTAAATTGAAAGGTTAGATAAAGTAGCCTAAATTGACTGATGACTGAATATTTAATTGATAGAGCACGGTGACATGATATCTTAGTCCTCGGGAATGCCGACGTATGAATGTCCGTCTGAAACGCGGTGTCCGTCGCTTCATAATGGCCGGCGGAACCAACCATGCAATTTTGTTTATAATTTCTATACAAATATATTATTAAAAATTAAAACTGAGCATAATATTAACTTTTCATTTTTCTAGTGCATATGTTACAGGAATAATGGTATGACCAAGGCATGGCAATGATTTTTACATTGAAATATAATTATTTTCACTCTAATTAAAGTCAAATTTTATGAAATTGATACGTATTCTTAATTCGACTATAATTTTGATAATCTTGTCAGCCTTGCGCGTAAAGAAGTTGATAAGTTTATAATAATTTTGCTTTTGTTTGCAAAATTAATATCCATATATAATAATATACTATAATATGTGAATTTTGTTCCGGACGCTATTTTATAGTCTTTATTAATATAGGTATAGGATGAGGAGCATGCGGGCGCTCGTCAAAGGGGGCGCCATCACTCGATTCGGATATATACTATAATTTTATTAAAATATTTCATATTTCATATTACTTTATATATACACAACAGCATGTCAATAGTAATTACATTTTCAAGATAATTATGTCACAATTTTTTAAAATCAAAATAATAAATTAAATAATATATAACATAGTAATAAAAGTACTTAATGGATAAATGTATAATACATTGGAATAATTCCGTCACATTGTAAAAAGGACATAATGTTGTTCGAAATATGATTTTATTTTGTTCTTAAATTCTGTTGATGTTAATTGCATTGTTTTATTTGATAGTTTATTGAATATAGAATCTATAGAATACTTAATAAATTATAATAAATAATCTAACTTACCTATGAATACGGAGACATAAGCCGCGCTAGGATAAAAATTGCATGCGGCGCTGAGGACCCTAGCGCCGGCCCTGCACCTATATACATAGATTTGACAGTTACCACTCACCATCATAAAGCTGAGTGGTACCATGTCAATAGGTACCTATATAAAATGTGTTATTTTTTTGTTTATTTTTTATTACAACTAGGTACATAATATACATGTTATGTTTAATTTCGAGTACATGCATATATAATTTATTTGATCATTTTTTTTTGTATATTGTTGGTTTTGTTTCTGTTGTAAATAACTAAAAAGCATTGATAAATATTATTTTTTCTTTTAGGACAATTAGGTTGCTATTACGGTTTTTAAATATTATTATTACAGAAGAAAAAGATGCAAGTTTATTTTTTTCTGTTAACTATGGTCATGCGGACACAGTTGCGAGTATAATCTAGTATCAATTAATAAAATTTACATTTACATATATTCTCTTATCCGATGTAGCTACAATTAATATGAGTTATATTGCAATTATTACAGTCGGGTTCATTCAAAGGGACAAAAGGGGTTTAAATTCATCATCTACGAATTGGCTTTTGCGTTACAGCTGATTGAATTCCACTTAATTCTATTATTACACAATAGTCATTTAATTAGGCAGCAATTAATAGTTATTCATCACTGAACACGACCATTATGTATTATTATAGCATATAATTATACGAAAATAAATATTTTCGTTAAACATATCTAATTGGCAGCACTCGCACTAAATAGAGAAAATGTTAAGCAGCGCTTAACTAAAAATAGTTTTAATTTAGTGTTATGCGTTTTTGTCATTAATGAATAAGTAGTAATCGACCCTGACTTTGCACGAGTGTAATTATTGCAGGGTAGATACTAATTTAAACATACTATCTATGCAGATAAATAAAATTGAAGTATCTGTTTTTAATTTAAATATTAACAGCTTTACACTAAACTATATAAGGTTTACCTATACAACAAAACAAAAATTACTGTCTGTTTGTTCATGCCGATCTCTGCAACGTCTGTATCGATTTTTCGTAGATAGTACTGTTATAACGAACAACTTAGTACTACTTTTAAGGTTAAAATTCTAGTTATTTTAATTTAAAAATATCGCGCGAACGAAATCGCGGTTAACAGCTAGTATATATATGCAAAGAGACATACGACACGAGCACATACAGTTTTTTTTTAATTCAGCTTAGCAGTTACTGGTGTTTATAATAACTACAGGATGTTAGGCGGAAACTATGTAATACAGAAACCCATTTTATCCTAACCAGATTTGAACGGCAGTCCCTTATTTATCCTATGAGTCGAGATACCTTAAAGCTTTCATACCTATAAGAGCTACGAAATTAAATGTACCACGTTAAGCAATAGCTTTTAGTGCCTTTCAAATTCCATTCCCCGAATAGTTGTACTCTAGTAAAATTTGCTACAAAGGAACCGTCAGGCGCTGTGAAAATAAAAACTCCTGGGTTTATTTAACTTATTTATTCTTTCTCACTTAGGGTTAGGCCTATGCTTGTTTAACAAGCAAACAGATTTAGATATATGTATATACAGTAGATAATATAAATGTAAAAAAACGCTTTATTATTATTAAATATTTTTTGTATACACAGCTAGATAAAATAATAAGATATTTTTGGTTTTCCACATATCTATATCGTTTTATTAAATTTTTATATGGAATATTTTTATATTTTTTTCTAAAAGATTCTAGGCTACCAGTAACTAACAAACTGCAACAACTTATAAACTATTTTAAAACATGCAGTTATGTCCGTCAAATCTCAAAAATAAATCGAAACGTCAACAGTTCATACTCCATGAGGCTGATGTCTGACGTATTAATTGGAATCACATTCAGTCCCGTAACTGAAATATTGAGTGATATTGGGATACCTCTCTTCTGGAGTCTCTCTAACTACCCCATCGTAACAATTATCACGACTGTATCTAGAACTGAACTTCGCTGAAATAATATATTCATGCGAAATTTAGTTTATATAGTTTCTTACGCGACTTAATAAATTTATTGTTATTTTAATGAACCGCGTAATAAACTAATAAACTCATTATATAGTTGGTATACCAAATTTCACAGCAAACATCATGAAATTTGGCATACTAACCTATTTGCGATGGAGAAGAACTTATGCTACATTTTATCGAATCTATCAGTCACGTAGAATTGGATAGTTCACGTGATATATACCTAATATCACATATTATTGATTATGCATTTTTATATTGTTTTAAAATTGTCAAAGATACCTACTTAGATAAACAACAAATTTAGTTTTTAGCTTTTGCTAATTTGTGTTAACATTATTTTGTATTAGCTGTGCCCACAGTTTCACTCGCGTGAACTTTATAGCTTTGTGTTATTCTAATGTATATTATTGCATCATGCTCACAAACTTCCACGTTTA